AAACCAAAATAAACAAAATGGAAAATTAACCGACAACAACAATTTAACATAAATAAAACAAGGATCTGTCGCCCGGGTCTTGTCCGTCGAGACCCTCTGCCTTCACTGCCACCCTTCTGGCAGTGCACCCGACCCCATCGGTGTTTCCCGTAGGTGGTGGGCCCGCGGGACGGAGAAGCGGAGGTGTTGCCCACGTTGCCTTTTCGGGCTGTGCCCGGCCGGGCTCCGTGGCAAGCCCGGCCACCAGACGCTCGCCGACGAGTCCTCCTTCTGGGCCTGGCTCCAGAAGGGGACCCCGGGCTTCCTCCGGGCCGGGTATCCTCACTTCGTGTGTCGTCTTTCATGAGGTCTTGTAAAGGAGCACAATTTAGCAAAAACTCTCCCTTTCCCAAACTGCAACAGAACACCCATTGGGACATAATGGCAAAAATAGGGACAGCTTCAGACAGGAAAAGCCTGTTCATATCAGTTTATAGGCTAGACCAGCTTGGAAACAGGGACATTAACAATAAAGGCATGTAGATGTTATCTTAAACACCTGTGTCCTGTTTTTAATCTCTTTAAATTATGCCTGCTTTCAAAGAATGTCACATCAGATGCATATTTTTCTGTCACTAAACACCCATCTCTTTTACAGTGTATGTGATGGCATTGATTTATACAATTACCTGAATAAAGGGCAGGTTTAGTGATATATGATGATGGAGCAAGTGAGAGAAAAACAAGTGTTAACACAGGGGTTTCCCCTGAACTCTCTGCCTCAGCTCCACCCCGAGCCTCAGGGTCCACAAGTTGTGTGGTATGGATGACAGGTTGATGTGAGCTGTAACAGAAGCATGTCATTATGTTACTGGATTAATCAGATCTGTGGATCCTGGGACATTTCTGACAGGCATTGTGTATGTGGTCTATTAATAGCTGCAGCCTAATTATTGGAAAGGAATACATGTTCCCGAAAAGAGGGCCTGAATGCACATACTGTAACATGTCACAGAGAAGTTTCTCAGCTGCTGAACAGACAGCTACGAAAGCCCATCAGGGAGGCAAGTCGGAAGAACCGCCTCGAACCTTTGGTCCCCCTATTCATGTCTGATGTGTCATATTTTATAACTTTATACATTTGGCAGGGAAACGGGGTTCAGGGGGAGTGGCTGTACGGCTGGGCTGTACCCGTAGGATAGAAAAGGGGGAAGTGACGTCTGACTCAGAGGTCACGCAGCTGTGGAGAAGAACGTGTAGCCCACATTCTGTTACTGAGTTTAGGCTAGTTAGCTAGCAGGTTTATTGTTTTGGGTGCAGTCACTTTTGCCTCCACTTGCTGGTCAAATAAATGTTGAAAGAAAAAGTAAATCTGTTTACAGTTCTGTTTTATATGGGTGTTGAAGAAGAAGAAGAATTGGGAGGGATGAAACCCTCTTTAATGGTCACACATGCAGAGCACACAGCACACACAGTGAAATGTGTTCTCTGCTTTTAACCCATCCTAGTACCAGGAGTCTAGTACTAGTAGCAGTGGGCAGCTATTGTACAGCGCCCGGGGAGCAATGGGAGTGAGGGGGGAAGGGGGATGTCCGGTGCCTCGCTGAAGGGCACCACGGCAGGGCAGGAGGTGAACTGGGACCTCTCCAAGTAGAAGTCCACACTCCAAATGTAGGTCTGGTCGGGGACTTGAACAGACGACCCTACGGCTCACAGTCCAAGCCCCTACTGACTGCCATAGATTTAGTCCCTAATTTTGCTCTCAAAGTGCACCAGATTGATGCATTTAACTTCAACATTTAAAGCTCCGGACCCCCTAGAAGAGGTGAGGACCACCACCTGCCCACACCCCCTGGAAGTTCAAGGGGAAAATATACTCAAATATCCATTACACACATATCAGAGACCAAAAAATTGATTTGGTACGTTACGTACACTGCCGCCCTAGCTCGACGGCACAGACCACAGAAAGACACTCTTTTTGTTCCCGACCCCACATAACTTTCCGGTCCGGAATGTAAAATTCCAGTATGAACACATACGGGTGCCATCTTTGGTTGGGGGGCACTGACTTGAGTATTGGAGTTAATGTGTCAATTATAAGGCCACCAAAGGTCGAAACACAACATACCCAAGAACGACACCATTCAGTCGCAACATATAGATTTTTAAAGTGATACAGACGAAACATTATGACGTAATAAATCTGATACAAAAGAGTATTTGACTCGAACTGTCAATAGATACAGGTCAGTACCCTACGGTAGTAAAATTAAGTCTCTCCGAAACTGTCGTCCGAGGAACGGCAGACGATTTCTCTGATGATGATATAAGTATGAAATTTGTGTTATTAAAGACGGATTGTAGTCTTACTAAGTAGAAGACGGAACATTAAGTCGGTGGAGTATACAGTGCTGAAAATTTACGTTGTTATATACTCTCAGAGTCTATCACTACGTTTGTACAGCGAGACTACAAAAACCGAGCTCTTATGGTTTGTCTAAATACGTAACACATTATTACGAAGACAAAGTCGGGACAAAGTCTTTCATGACCTAAGATACCGGTGCCGACTAGACGCTCTACTAGCCAAATTTTTTGCCACACAATCCTCCTCTAAGTTCCCCAATTATTCCCTATAACAATGGAACCTACCAATACAACCGATTACCAAGCGTGTTGCGGTTTTATTAGCAATGTGTCTCCCCTGTGTACGGGAAAAAGTAAACAAGATTGCGAGGGGAGGAGCTGAGGATAGAGCTCCGAATCAGGCGGTGTCCCTACGCTCGCCTCCTCGCTGCCTCTCTCCCCCCTCGTCGTCCCGCCAATCTCTTTACTCCTTAGGAGAGGACGACTCGTCAGTAACTCCTGCAGGTAATTA